TTTTTGTTTGATTTATGTGTTTGTTTAGAAACTACTTTAAAATATTGATATGCAGTGAAAGCTTATTGTGTTTTATAACCTCTTTGATCCCTGTTGGTGGGACTTCCTGTGCTCTTCAGGCTTTGTATGAATGGCAGGTGGATGATGAATTTGGAAATGAAGGTATTACACCTGCTGGGAAGTGAGTGAGGAAGTGGTACATGAGCGCTATCACTGAAAAGATTACACCTTCAATAGCAGGAGGAGAAGTGCTGTCTGTACTCCGGTACTGAAAGGGTTACACCTGCAGCAAGAGGGGGTGCAGAGGTGAGAGTTGGGAGATAAATAGGAATTATAGAGGTGGCAACAGCATCTAGGCACAGCTACCAAGGGGCACTGATACAACTTTAATCAGGTGCACCATCAGGATGAGGTTACAGTAGCTGGATCCCTGAAGCAGGGCAAGCAACCAGTAGATGAGGCAGTTAGAGAGGAAAGGATCATAGCCTTTCAATCCAAACAAAAGTGGGACTGCCTTCATGCCCTTCCTTCATATTTCAGCAGGGAAAAAGCAGTATTGCCAAACCCCAAAAGTTTAAAAATGGTCAGACCCAAAAAATCATGATATTGATCCAGTGATAGATTCACTGATAGATTGAAGTGATTTGGGTCCCGTTGCAGGAGCTCTCGCTCCAAAAAATTCTAAGTAGTTAATTCTGTGTCCCTTCCAGACCCCCATCTGCCCCTCCCCCAGCCTAGCCATGAACCAAGCACCCCTAGCTCCTGTCTCAAGTCTACCCCCTAGCCCCACCTCTGCTCCTCACACACACACACTTGCCCACTTCCCAAGCATGGTGTTGTTGCAGGGATGGAGAAGGGCTGGGGTTGGGGAGGAGCCGACCCATGTTATCACAGGACGGGAGGGGTGAGGAGGGAGCAGGGTCACCTTGAGCAGCTGATCTCTTCCTGCTCCCTACCCCACACCTCCTCATGAGCCGAGAGCAGTTCAAGGGTAGGGGAGGAGGGAAGAATTCTGCCTGTCTCCTGCAGGAGCTCTGATTGGCTGCTCTTCCCCAGGAGGTGGGGAGGGCACCCAATCGTAAAGTGTTTTCCTGTGGGCAGGGCTGAATATGGTGAGTGTTGGAGCGTCTGTCATTAACAGATTGGCCCTAAAATCAAGTTACTGGCTTGAGAGGGCAGCACAGGATATGGTCTGCCTGGCAGCTCCAGCAGGAACTTCCTTAGTGCACAGGAAGCCTGTGGCACCTCCGGTGACTGGGTCCTCTGCTCCAGGCTCCCCATCCCAGGCTGTTAGAAGAGTTGTGACTCAGTGGCTCTCTTCTCGTTCCTTTCCATTGCTCTGCTACCCGCCTCCATCTTCCCAGCTGAAAATCTACTAGAAGCGTCTAGGCCGCTGTGCTTTTTACTCCTCCTGCCCAAATCTTTCCAGTGAGGGGAGCAGCAGCATTTACTGCCCTCCTCAGGAGGTAGAATTGTGTTCTTCTCCTGGGGTCCTCTGTTACCTCAGGTTCTGTGGCCTATGTAAAGTGGTCCTGCTTACACTCTTGGAAGGGATTTCCAGGAATTTGGATTTGTATGAAAAACAGGGTGAGATGAAGATTTCACCTGTGCCTGTAGGTATTGCCAGTCCCAAGCATTCAAAAATAATGAGTCCGGTCTCAAACAATCATGACATTGGTTTAAAAAGTATGACATTTTAAATCAATAATAAGTTTTGTGTTCTTTGTATTGGTCTTTTCATTTCTGACCCTTTAGGTGCACTTAAATCACGTTTTCAAGCATGTCTCTGTGACCATGAGGGCTAGAAACATATTTCTCTAAAAATAAAAAAACCCTTCCCTGGAAAGCTACGTTTCTCACCTAATCATTTGACTTCAGGAGCTGGGGGTTTAAGAAAAATATCAAATAGTCCAAGCCTTGCATCATGCCCTCCCTGGTGGGAAATGTGTATATATGAACATATTAGGAACCAGGAGCAAGGCTTGAAATAGGCTTGGTTTTCAGTAGGGAGAAAGAGGGTGAGGTGTGCTGTTGATATGGGTTGGACAGCTGGTGGGGAGAAGCTCAAAAATAGCTTGAATTTTTTAGGAAAAATCACTGACAAACTTTCAGCTTTTCAACTGTAGCTGCTACAAGTTTGTTTTTTAAAGTCCATCTTTGAGGAAAAATACTACAAAATAGCATAAACCTCAACAAATATAAAACAAAATCAAGTCCAACAACTGTAGGTTAGAAATGATACTTAGTGTTAACCATCAGTATTAATAAACACCACTGGGATCTGACAGAGTTTTCAAACTTTGATAAGGGATAATGCTAAAATTAGCCACCTAGTCTGCCTGGAAAAACTTAAGGGCACCAATTTCCATTGAGGTTAACTGAATAAAGCAAACCTGGAGTGTATAGATCAAGCTGTTTTTAGAAAAAATGACATTCTAAGAAGACTCTTCAAAAAAATCTCCTGGATTTTCAAATTCTCGTGTCTCCAAGATGCCTTGTCTGATTAACCTCAAACCTGGGGGGGAAAATCACCTCCAGCTAGAAACAAACACAAGAAATTTCAAACAGAAAATAGCTTATTTGAAGGAGGTAGAAGGGATGTAGGGTCAAAATTAGATTTAATAGAAAAGCAAACAATAAAAAAATTGGCTCCCATTCACATATATCTAATTCTGTGTACCTGTGATCTAGTGGATTGAACCCAGCATGGGAGCCAGGAATTCCATTCATTTACTGTGCAGTCTTCAGTGACACTTGAATCGCTCTGTATCTGTTTCCTCATCTATGAGAGGATTACCTATAACCAACTCAGAGGTGTTGCAAATTTATATAGGTGTAAAATATGGGGGGGAGGGATAGCTCAGTGGTTTGAGCATTGGCCTGCTAAACCCAGCGTTGTGCGTTCAATCCTTGAGGGGGCCACTTAGGGATCTGGGGCAAAATCAGTACTTGGTCCTGCTAGTGAAGGTAGGGGGCTGGACACAATGACCTTCCAAGATCCATTCTAGGAGATAGGATATCTCCATTAATTAGTTTATTTATTAAAATACACATGTATGTAATACACATAATACTTAGCACAGAGAGTAAGTGCTAAGTATTATGTGTATTACATACTTCTACATCTAATCTATGTATTTATTTATAAATAATGCTGAATGCTAGAAATGGGCCCAAACACAATCCCTGGATCTGAACACCACTGAACTTTGAAGAAGTTCTGATCTGGATACAAACATGAACTTTAGAGACAAATTTATTAGAGCATAAGCTTTCGTGGGCTACAGCCCACTTCTT